CTGAAGCCCCGAAATCTTTTGATTTGTCTCCTAGGTATGCATTGGCGTTAACACTGGCTTCGAATTCACCACTGGCCTCGGCTCTAACTTTGTGAAAAACTCGAGTTTCTCTAGTTTCATCTGGTGTAGACGAGTTTTCTTTAAAGTTAGTGTGACTGCAACTTACTCGTCCATCAGCTTTCAATTTTCCAGTGGCATTTACACCTGCTGTTTTACCCAAAACGTCCACCGAAGCGTTTAAATTAGCATCTGAATTGAAGTGTGCTGCCGCAGCGTATTCAGTCTCAGTTCCTTCGTATTTGTAACCATCTATATTTGGCAATGATTCACCGTCTACATGTTTTGAAGATACGAAGCATCCAGCGTCGAAACGAGCACCTGCATCTGCCTTAATAGAATTGTTCATCACAGACAATCCACCTGAAGCCCTGGATCTCGCTCCTACTGATCGTTCATGCTTTGATTCTGTTGTGTTCGTCAGTTTATTATCGTCAATTGTTTGGTAGTGAATTGTACCGTCTTCTTTCGAGTGGGAATACCCGCAATTGGCTTCACCGTGAACATCAATCGGTACATCAAAACGTCTTCCACAAACCTCCACATGTCCTCCAAATTTAACATTTCCTTTGGCTGATTTATCCACGTCCACTCCTTTATAGTTAAAATCATCAGAGTTCGGATCAGATTCTTTTTCGGTCCTTTTGGATGAGATGTTATAGTCGGCATCAAGATACGCACCGGCTCCACCATCAACAATATGATCACCACCCAAGGTGAATGTGGCGTGACCACCATCTTTCCATGTCGCCGAACCTTCTTTGGTTGAGTTTTTAACAGTGACGTTTTTATTACCGTCTGTCGAGTGGTTTATTTCAGTCGATTGGTTTGACGTCGTCTTTAAACTGGAGTTATCTCTCTTTGTTTCCAGACCCGGTTTAAACTTCAAGGCGCCATCTTTGAAAGCAGACACCAAATTATTGATCAGCTCGTCCGGAACTTCTTCAATAGATCTGGATTTATCGATATTTAGAGATTTCTTCAATTTGTTGACCACATCCGATGCCTTGGCTTTCACTTTCGCTATTATTCCATCCTCACCTGTCAGTATTTCTCCATTCCTTATGTATGTAAAGGGATCCCCCATATTGTGACCTAAAAGGAAAAGATCAATGGAAAATTAAGACACATACCGGTAAGGGCATTGTCATTGGTGTAAGACTTGGAAAATATAAGCAGTTGCTCAACTTCCATAGGAACTGGTTAAGCCAAATGTACGGGCCCCCACCCGTAAGGGACCTACATCCCCCATCCTTTAAAAAAATGCAGGAGAGCATATGTTAAAAAAATGCCCGTGGTAGAGAGCCCCCAAATCATTTAGTTCAGCCACTGTAAGTAAGATTTCAGATTCGGGTGCTATTTTTAGTAATATTGCTCACGTTGATAATGTTATAGTAATATTTTCCTATAATCAAATTGTTTAAAGTTTAAAGATCAAATATCAAATTTAAAACCAACATTATTATATCACGTGAATTAGTCAAAGTAGCAATAAATATAAATAGATCGTCTTTGATCAGTTAACTCGTCAATAGAAACCTTGGTCACTGTGACCCAATCCCCTTGAGTCAAAACTTGATTATTCTGACCCAACCCCTGAATTCCAAGTCAGATACTCTATAAGGTTCCCATGGTGGTTTTCTCCTTGGAATTAGTGAGGTTGAAACAAGTTAAACTAACGATGTGAATCATTCAGTTCAGAACTGTGATGGTCTGTATTCTCGGAGAATGAAAGTGAACTGCGCAATTCATAATGTGATAGAGGGGGGGGGGGGGCGAAAATTTTCTTACATTCTCTATCTATATATATGTATAGTAACTCTAAATCCAGAGAAACTTTAGAAAATAATGCCACTATCGGTAAAAACATTCAACCTGAGTGATCCTCATATAAAACAAAACCTCTTGAAAGTAAGTTTTAAGTATAAGAAATGACAAATATTAATTTTCCAAGAAAGCAAGTATTCTGATACTCATATACACTGGTCAGAAAATAATTACAATACCTGTTTATTCACAAGTAATTCATAGTCTACATACCACAACCAGTGCCTTTGTGAATAGACAGACTGTCAAATTACACACATCCCCGCCCTTCCCGTATTTAATTGTTTAATAGTTCTTACCTTGTCGATTGTCTATTGAAATAAGGATCAACAAGCAGGTAGAGTCTTGAAGATAAAAGTAAAACTCGATTAAGCAAATTTCCTAGTCTTTGTTTGTATTCTGATGACTAAGATTTATCTTTTAGATATTTTACCTGACTCTCTGGGAATTCCCAGTTTATTCAGAAATTACTTGGCAAATTGTCACACTAAAATTTGAAAAGATAATAGAAAACAGGGTTTTCCCGATTCGTGTTTCTATTTTTATCAATTTATACTTTCTCTCCGGAAATTTTCAATACTCAGAATATATCACAAACCCTTGGCAAATTTTCAACTAAAATGACCCTGACTCGATAGTGATTACCAGTTGCTTATTGTTGCGAATAAAAATACCGGTTGTAAGTTTCGAACGCAACTCTCATCAGTAACGTATCTAGGAAACACCAGTAGAGGGGGGGTGAACAGGGGTCACAAAATTATCAGGGGGCATTTAGCCCCCTACAAATAAGTCTACCCCAACTTTAATTTTAACAAATTAAAAATAAAAAATTTTTTTTTAAAGTTTTGGCCTTAAATATGTATCAGAATGGACCAATTCAAATCTTTTCATCGAAAATTTTCTTGAGAGAACTCTCTCAGGCGCTCCATGAGAGACCTGCAACTGTGACACCTATGTCCCATTTTGTCAGTCAACCCCCTATTTGTACCCTCAATCCCGCCACTGGTATCTTTTTTAACTACATTTCTGGGCCAAATTCCGTCACTGATACCCAGTGCATTTTTTAGGAAATAGCTGGCCTCTTCACCACGCACATTGTTCTAATGTTGTTTTCAGTAAGTATGTGAGTGTTGTTTTCAGTAAGTATGTAAGTGTTGTTTTCAGTAAGTATGTAAGTGTTGTTTTCAGTAAGTATGTAAGTGTTGTTTTCAGTAGGTATGTAAGTATTGTTTTCAGAGTAAGTATGTAAGTGTTGTTTTCAGAGTAAGTATGTAAGTGTTGTTTTCAGTAAGTATGTGAATGTTGTTTTCAGTAAGTATGTAAGTGTTGTTTTCAGAGTAAGTATGTGAGTGTTGTTTTCAGTAAGTATGTAAGTGTTGTTTTCAGTAAGTATGTAAGTGTTGTTTTCAGTAAGTATGTAAGTGTTGTTTTCAGTAAGTATGTAAGTGTTGTTTTCAGTAAGTATGTAAGTGTTGTTTTCAGTAAGTATGTAAGTGTTGTTTTCAGTAAGTATGTAAATGTTGTTTTCAGTAAGTATGTGAGTGTTGTTTTCAGTAAGTATGTCGCTTTACATTCTTCATTCGTTTAGCTAATAACCCTTGATTTCATAAAATTTGATAAGAATATATTTAACTTATTTAATTCAACAATCAATGATATAAAATATAGAACAAAACCGATAAAATAGAAAACAATAAAGGAAATAAAAAACGAAATAAAAACAATGATGATTAAGAAAGCAAAAGATAATTTAGAAGTTAAAATGACAATTTAAAAATTTAAAAAAATATCACAATATTATTAAAGGCTATCTCAAGTTAGGTGGTGTTAAGAGGATCTTAAACGGAAAGACTTCACGACTATATATATTTCTACTAGTATTCCTATAACTATTATTACAAGTAATGTCAGTGTCACCTTTGCAATAAGAAACCACTTATCTGAAAGATAATTAAAAACCATTAGAGTGTTCAAAATACAGTTCAAGGGAGAGAATGTATGGAAACAATATAGTCAGGGATATTAGTCAATTATATACCCGGATGCATATATATTTTGCATATAATATTAGCCTTCTTATAGAGACAGATTCGCCATTTTCGAGGATCTACATATAATATTAGCCTTCTTATAGGGACAGATTCGCCATTTTCGAGGATCTACATATAATATTAGCCTTCTTATAGGGACAGATTCGCCATTTTCGAGGATCTACATATAAAATCTCATATGATAGCAGTTTAAAAATTTCCAAATTCAAACATTCACTCTTTTTTCAGCCAAATTTTGCAATTTTTGACATTCGTGGGTCTGTAGGTTGTATGTATATTGCTGAAAGTCGGATGTGTTGGATGTGTAACTTAGACGTTTATTTTTGTTTATTAAGAAAATATTATATATACTTGCCACAGGCATTGGTGTTGTGATTCACATGGTACATACTTATTACTTGAGAGATAGGATTGGATCATCTCTGGAAGTTACCATATTCTCAGATGTTGAATGAGATTCAGAGTTAGTTTTAGACTCTCCACAGACTGCATCATTCCATGGAGTACCTGGAATTGAATATATAACTAGAGATAGCCCTTTTCAAACAAAATATCGATAAAAAAATTTAATTGTAACAAGAAACATTCTCGGGGGTTAAATCGGGTCTTGAATATATGAAAAAAAACAGAAGTATTAGAATTATTATGGTATCGCCTATCAAATTAATTCAAATACGTCTCTAGAAATTTCACTTTTTATTTCGCTGGTTTTTCTCCCATCTGAATATTTTCGACAAGGTTTTAATAAGATATACGGTGTGTGTATGTTCAAGCTGTAATGACCTTACAAATACTTATGATTTAATATCATAAAAAATCTATTTATGGGCTGCAACGGAGTCACAAGAAAAGATGAGTCGTCATTGTAATTTTCAAATACGAATGATGGAGGATACACACAGGACTAAGAAGGCCAGAATTTAGCTGTGAACACGAATACTGGTAAGCTCACTGTAGCAATTCCCATTACCGATATTAGTGTACGATTGATTGAAAGGATGTACCCCCGTGACAAGACAAGGGCTATTATCTTTGGTCAACCAAGTGGACAGGACGGAAAGGTGGACAAACATATAAATGGATACACACCTTGTATTAGTATTTCTCCAGGACAAACTCTGTGAGTCAGACAAATTCCAGTGTCTCCCAGGTATACATGCCAGTATTTACCAGAAGGACACAGGCATTCTGTGTCATTTCTTTCGGTACATGCTTTTACCAGATTTCTTTCAGGTTCACAATCAGTGCAGTGACTACAAGAGGTTGCATGGTTGGCACTTTCCATGTAATGGTCTGCGGGACATGTTTTACAAGTTGAAAGTCCTTCATCGTTTTCACAATCTTTTACCCAATGTTCTCCAGCTGGACACAATTGACACCAGTGTCCTTGTTTAGATTGGTACATTCCCTACAACATGATAGGATAGTTTGCAAGGCGCAAGGCATAATAATAAATATTCAGGTAAGGTATTGTTAAAAGATAGCTTATCAGGCAAGGTAATATATGCCCACTGGCAGCTTTGATATTGAATAGAAATATTTAGCAGTACAGTAACAATCATCAGTATGAAATATTCAACCTTCAGTCATACACTTCTTTTGAACCCTCTGATACTGAATAATATTTCCAAGTTTTATCAAAATTAGACAAGAATCGTGTCTTTTAGTGTTTTATACTAGCTAAAAATTGAAAGTGTTTTCAAGAACAGGGTCAATAACTCATATCAAATACTATCCTTGGGTGATAACAAATACAAATTGTGTCTTGTAGAGTGTTTACGAGTCATTGTGGATGGACTCCGACGGACGGACATGGGTGACGACAATATACACCCCTGATTTCATGTGGGCGTACACAAAATAGGTCAATAGAAAGTAGAGGTGTTCTAATGATCTGGAAAAATACCAGTTTGTCTCACAATTAAACCTTTTTTCACATGAATCTGTGTTATATGTGATATTTATATATTTTTTATATTGATTATTGTATGAATGCTATAAATAAAAAGAAAAAAAAATCATGATAAGCTTATTACGAAGGGATTTCTGTATATACATCAATTCATCTAATTAACTGTCTGTGAAATAATTACATGTTACATAGTAATTTACCTGTTTGTTTTCCTCTTGTAGTTCTCTGTTATTTGTTGGCAAGGTTGAGCCGGCCACCAGTGCTGTCAAAGACAGGAAAACAGAAACACAAACAAAACCTTTCATGTTGCGACAAATTTGTTACATAAAACTGAGGCTTTTTTGTCTGATTGGACACCTCTATACTGTAATCCTTTTTGATCTGCGTTCAAGACGATTGCCTGAAATATTAATTACAATCTTAATAAATAAACAAACATAAACTTTCTTATCAATTATCTATTGCGACCTATAGTCCTAAAATTTAGTGACTTTGGAAGATAACTCTGACACTTAAATGCACTTCATGCTAAATTGTGACTATCGGTTATCATATTATACATTTTATTATCATTTTGGATCCGTATCTTGCGAAGTTTTTGTTTTCATTGACTTTGTTTACAAACACCTATATAGTCAAACGCAGATATTTTTGCTTATCCGGGTACTGACAAAACATAATCACAACCAGTGCAGTATATTTTAAAGGGTATTTAGAATATATATGTCGTTTTTAATTAATGAATACGCTTGATGTTTTGTAATTTTCATATACAGAAGTAGGCCTATGTAGGCCTAGATTATAGTTAGGCCAAGCCTACAACCACTCTTTAGTCTATTGTCTCTTTTTTATTAATTTTATAATCCCTTCTTTCAAATTTCCCCTATCATTTATCATAAAGATTTCTTATAATTACATATTTGATAAAAGACCGTCAAGTGATTTTCACATAGCCTATTAAAATTATGGCATAGGACATTCGATTATCTCAGATACTAGGCTAGGCTGCGTCTATCCCTTTCCTTTATGCTTCTTTAAAGATAACCTTTGATATGAGGAAATTACGCTGAATTTTTTCAAATATAAAGTTACAACTGCATATTAATGTTTATTTGAACACAAAGAGCAACCTTATGCCGTATTCCTTTAATACGCGATCAAGTTAATCGAGTAGGGAACTCTTCTGATCCGGGAGGTACAACGAACGTTTTCTCAACTCTTTGAATTTATCGAACATAAACAGTCCTTCGGCAACCACCGTGTGAGTAATCTGTTAGTAATCTGTTAGTAATCTGTTAGTAATCTGTATCAACCGAACTTAGAAGTGCTTACTTTTACCTCCACGAGAGTTTAGCTACGATCGTAATAATAATTTTTGCGAACTTTGAGTTCCCTTGTACGTCGATCGGCAAGATTGACCTTTGACCTCGCAGTTTTCTTTGATCTATATTGTGTGCCGTCATAGACTTGATTTGTCATTTAATCGAACTTTGAAACTAAAATTTAAATCCTAAAGAGGGATATCTTTTATTTCATTTTCCTTAGTGTAACTTTTTTGTTACTTTGTATTTTACAGCTTTTTACAATAATGATCGTCGACTTTGAATAAAGTTCTGAATGTAAGAAGTGGCGGTCTTGTTATCTATCTGTTAAGCCATACCCTTTGGTGAGGACAGAATAAACCTATTGACTGTTTTATTAACGTCGTGACCTTATGATGCGCAACCATGACGATGGCCCATATTCCGACGCCTCTGATCGATTGAACTAAAAATGTCTCTAGGCCTTTTCAAAGAAAACCTTATCACTACGAGAAAATGGTGGCTATACACCGCAATCAAAGAGTTTGGTAATTTGATGCCGAGAACTTTATAAAGCTATGAAAAATTTGACTTGAAACGATACGTGCGTACTGAATTGGGGCTAAGAGAACTTTAAGCAAGTTATAATATTATTGAAAATCAGAGTGTCCAGAAAACTTATTTTGTAATTCACAATCTATAACCACGGCGTTGCTTGGGAATCAACTCCTCCTCCCCTTGCACGTTTTCGCACTTTGTAGTCAGGAATAGTACTTACCTTGGCTGTAGTAAAATATATCTCAATAAGCAACAAATTGAATCGATTTCTTACCTAGTTTATATTATACCAATTGATATGTAAATTATGAGCATGTCATACAAAATATGCATTTTGTTTATGGCCCTGTCACACATTGACGATTAAGGCAGGCGTATAATACCCACTGCATAGGTACAGAAAAGTAGACGAATCATTTTGTGCATGCACGAAATCGTCGACGTATAACTACGTATGACTCATACGTCCCGTATGCGTGGAACGTAAGTTGCTTTGAACCTATGCTGAACTTGGACGACCACAGAACTTACTAAAGACATGTTTAAGTTACAGCTATCGTATTATGGCGTATAGTGCAGCATTTAGGAATATAAAATAAATATTGGGTGCCAGTTCGATATTAATTATACAGTATCTGTAAGTCAGTTCTATCGTCGTTCAGAAAACGTCAATACGTCACACTGGACAGAAATTCGACATATTCAGGTTCAAAGCAACCACTCATAGGTTAAAAATACGTTTTGAGTATGACAGCATACGTCGAATATTTTGTGCAAGTACAAGTACTAAATCGTCTTGGTTTTGTGCATTGTGTGATAGGGCCTTTACCTAGTAGTAGGCCTACCTTTCACACTTCATACACTCATGATCAAGTTTCAAAAGACTTTTTTAATGTATTTAGTGGGCGCTTTTTTTTAGTTTCAAGGTCAACTTGACTGACTGAATACCAATGTACCCAAAGAATCTAAAGCAGTGTATGATTTCGAATACAATTATATATATAATAATCAAAACTTGTGACACACACTCCAAATATTAAATGAAAACTGGTACAAATATTTTATAATCTGTAATAATTTCAGTAAGCCTTCAAATTAGCTATATCAACCATTATATAAACATGGTTGGATGTTGGTGGGGATTACGCGACTAACGAATGCCCCCTGCTTGAACCCCACCTATAATTTTTCCTAGAAACGGCACTGTCTAATGGACACCAAGAGAAATTAGGTTCAAGTTGATTTCCTCAATTATTTTGTGATTGAATGTGCCATCTTATCTGGATAAATTTCTGGTTTATACGTGTCAAAGCTTAACAAACAAACCAGGGCTTAAAAATCGTATTTCAAAATTACTTATAATATACATGTTACAATATTATTTTTTTCTTTATTCGGTGTCGTTTGATTTTCAGTTTTACATTCCACAGACTGATATAAAAAAAATCCGTACAAGCATGACACTCCGCTAATCAAAATCTTGTTCAAAGTATGGCAAAATCAAGAGTAAAAGTAACGTAGAAGAGAAGTACCATTAGGTGTTTTTACAAGAGTAAGCAATGCGCTTTTAATGTGTCAGTCAAAGCCCAAAATGCTCCTTCCCCCACCCTGCTTCACTGACAGTGGAAATCCGGACTGGAAAACCTGTAACATAAAGAGAATTGTGTATTAATATAATTATTCTATTTTAAATCATACAGTATGGTTACAGCACGAACAGATTAGAATCACATCACGTGGTAACGACAACCATTTGGTGTGATGTGTTCAGATGAATGTTGGGATATTGTAATAACTTGTCGTCTGGTTTGTTGCACGTGCCGCAAGCTGTAAAGATGATGGCGATACACTGCTCCATTGTAATCAGTTGATCTTGGCAACAATTTTAGAGAAGGGTTTGAAAACAAGCATGATGGGAATAGTCCAGATAAATGTGTCTGAGTTCCGGCAATCTGTTAAAGATCATTGCCAAGAGATTTGACAGTTGATGGTGGACAGAGTCCGCGAGAATCGTAATTGTAATCCACGTAAAGTCATCGTCAAGAGATTTGACCAAACACTTGATGGTAGACAGGATCCTCAACAGCTTTGTGAGTTTGTAAATTGATTACCATGTTTAAGGACCAGCCAAGAGAAGGGAATTTCTAAAACTTCAAGTTGCTATCCTAATTAAATACTTTCATAGATTTGACCAATGGAATCAGTAATTGAATTATTCGTTTATCAAGATCACAGTTCAATATAACTTCCCTCAACATGAAAAACAGAAAACAGAGATGGATAAGAATTCGGTTATATTCAGTTATATCACAGTAGTGTGATCTGAACTTCAAACAAATCCAACCTCTAGTCGGCGACAAAACTCGCTAGTGTGACCCTTGCTTTAGAATTGACTTATATTTTGTTCTATTAACCGTAGTGTGAACTCAACTTTACACAAAACAAGGCTTGATATAACGAGTTTTACACCCGGCAGGAAAGTACTCCAATAAAAGGCTAAGAAATCTGATCAAAAGACCGATAGAAACATCAGCAAATGGCGGATAGTTAGAAAAACACATTAGTGAAGGAAGACAAATATTTTAGCTTGTTAAAGTAAGGAAGACTGCGGCCATTACACATGATCTAATACCCTCCAGGCCGGAAGTAACTCGGTCCCTCCCGATATTGAAAACCGTACAAAATGGTGAAATTGTGAGAAATGTTGATTTTGTGGGTTGATAAAAACAGTTTAAAACTTGATCAAAGATTTGTAGGAATATTTATGATCTTTATAAGTTTAAACATCTCGTTTTAACCAATAGAAATATAACTTACATAATAAATACTGTACCACAAATTATAAAACAATTCAGACTAGTTGTTAGTTCAGTGGCGGCGCTAACTTCTTGGAACTGGGGGTACAAATAGGAGGAACATTGACTTAATTGGGGGGACAAATATCGAGATTGAGATTGGAAATGAGGCTGAGCAAAAGGGCAAGTCTGGTCGAAGAAAGTTCTACCCCAAAAATTTTACTGATTTAGTACATTGTGACACATATTTGGGGATAAAGATAAAAATGATGTTTGGGAATTTCACAAAATTGAAGAAGGGGTAGCTACAAACTAGTTTTATGAAGGAGTAGCACCCCAACCGTCCCATCAACCCCCTCATGTACCACCATGTTAAAGTTAGTGAGTCGACAACACGCTGACTTTAATACACAACAAATAGTAATATTAAACATCATATTTATAAAACAAATTATAATCTTGAATGTCAAGTGAGTTCGAATCTTTCTCTAAAATTTGATCAGGTGAAAGATGTCGATTGATATTGGAACTATTATAAAAACATCCCCTAGAACCAAACTGTAAACAATCCGCTTGAAATTACAGCTCGACATATTTTCATTTTTGTAATTTAGTTGATGTGGTAGCCTAGGCCTACACATCATTTAGGCTATTCTATTCTATGGTCATCACCCACATTAGATTAGAATTAAAAGTTCTAGATATTCTAGGCTATAAACTCTTCACAGTGATAGGCCTATCTAGTTTTTGAAAAGGATGTCAATTTTTCACGATTGGTTGTCACTGTAGTAGGTTACGGGATTGTAAATTAGGCCTCTTGAGGCATTGGAGACAGCTGCCACCTCCATCTTTTTATCAGATTTGTTAAAATTAATTTCGCACCATGACGTAGGCCTAGCTCTAGAGCCCCTAATTTCAGCTACAAGGAAGTGTCTGGCCAAACATCCGTTTGAATTACTCCCTAGTCAAACCTAAACTAGGCCTAATTTACGAGTCGAGCAATCAATTCAATGAAGGTATGATTTCTACTATCAGAAATAGCCTAACAAAACCCTGGTGGTTTGACGTCTGATCGGTTGATAGGAAGTGACGTCACTAGTAAGATAAGGGCGGCAGTAAATGTAGTAAAGAAAATAGAGTGGTTGACAGGAATATAAATAAAGTTTTAAAGAAGTGTAAAATGGAGTAATTAAGTTAGATAAATAAATAGTTTATTCTGTTTACACCAACTTTTAGATTGGCTGTTTATATTTCTTAACTTTACTCAACTTTCCACTTTCAAAAAATATATCAACTTTTCTTAAAGTGAATAATATCTTTCAGTTTACAATTTAAATTTAAATATCATTTTGAATTCAATTAGGCTTCATTATGTTTGAAACTTTTTAAGTTAAAAATATCATTTAATACTGACCGTTTGGTCGACTTAATGAAGTTTGTAGGGTATTAGGCCTATGTCTTAAAAAGTGACAAAAAACATATTAGTTTTGAAGTTTTGAAAAAAAAATACAGCTTCTGCCAATAATAAAAAGGTATATATGCCTATTTTAAAAACCAATATTCCAACTGGAATCCAAATTACCAAAGTGATTTGGTTCCATGTTGACAGAAACAGTAGTAAGTAACTGGTAAACTAATTGATAGCCCGAGGGGTAGAGAGATAACCCCGGGGGTAGAGAGATATACAACTCGAGTACCGTTATCTTACACCTAATATAAATATACCAGATAACACAGTTTTACTTGTATACCAAACATTGTCCTACTCTGATAGTGTTTTTACTGGAAATATACAAACTACAAAGTCTGTATACTCTACCATTATAGAAACATGTCAAATTTAAATTGGACTTCATCAGAACGATACATCCTACAGTAGATACTTCAAGGGGTGATTTCTGATCTTTGTACGTATATCGGGACACTGATAGCATCGACTTGCACCCTTCCAATTTTAATTCAAACGTCTGTGGTTCCTGCAATTCTACTGACCAGATAAGATGTCACAAAATCCTTTTATATTATATAAGGCTCCGCGAGATAGTGACGTCATAAAACGCTTAATTTTAGAAGAATTGAAAGAACCTCACACGTCTGACTGAATATTGGAATGGTGCAACTTGATAGTATCGATACGCATAACAAATTTGAAAAACCTCTCCTAGCAGACGACACTTACATTATTTATGCAAGCAGACGACTTAGCTATCCCACTGTTAAGTTGTATTATAATTTAAACCATGACAACATACCATCGACTATAGTATAATATAATACACGCCCAGATTCTACCAGTCACGTGACACGATTCCTGATATTTGAAGAACTGTCTTGAAGAATTATCGTCAAACTGGACTTAGAATATATTAGCATCACTTAAAAATAATTATCTAAGTTTTGAGATTAAAGAAATTGTTTATTGTTTATCTAATTAACTCCAATTAACAGAACAGTTGTAATTAGTTGTTTTTATCTCACGGAGTATAAGTTGGTTTCATTCAAGCTTTTGGAAATAATTCTTTAAAAACCGCTGAATAAGGTAAGAATGTTATATTTTTATGATAATTAGATTAAAATATTTTGTATTTTGATATGAGAAGAGTTTTTTTGTACTATAGAATATTCTCTTTGTCGATTCAAGCTCCTGTTCGGAGGAATTCTCTTACTGTGTTACAGTTTACAGCAAAGTAGATTTTATTACATTTTCAATTTAATCTTTATTACTCAAATTGACAATAATTATTTAAAAGAAGTATGTTCTCTTCTTGTGAGCTCGGCCAGTGCTTCTATAACATTCAATGAGCACTTAGTAAAATAAATACAGTCTGCTTTCCCTAATACTGTACCTGTACCATGCCCTATCTTGTTACATAATACATAATACAATCCTATATTATACAAACCTATATTATACAAACCTATATTATACAAACCTATATTATACAATCCTATATCATACAAACCTATATTATACAATCCTATATTATACAAACCTATGATATACAATCCTATATTATACAAACCTATGATACACAGTGTTTTGTAAAGATAATAATTTTTCGCATGGATTATTTTGAATAAAGTTTATTCATGTGTTAAGTTTGTTTAGGCTCTCATTTTACACGCAAACTTTTCTTTAGTGCATAGTTTTGGATCTTCACACAAATTTATATTTAAAAACATATTTTGGCATATTTGGAGAAATTTATGTATTTATCTGTGAAATTTGGTCCTTTTTGTATTTAGTCGATAATCTCTGGGTCCAAAATTTCATTTCATCTTTACCTGTGTCCGAAACTTTTCATTTTGTTCAATATCTTTAGATATACACACAAAATGATGTTTTAAATGTTGAATATCTGTGAAGAAAATGATATATTTATATATAAAATTTGGTCTCGCCTTCTTTAACATCAACTGATTTTATTTTATATTTGAATGATAAGTTATCTTATTATGTCATCAGTTGAAACTAGGCTTGTGATGTTAAAATTAAAATATTCTGATATAATGTGAAATATTAAAGACAATTTTAATCGTCTGTTTATATTTTACCGCCTTTGATCTATGAATATCAGCAACCGTTTTTAATTAGATATAATTAAACTAGCCTACATTACTTGTATGTTTTAAATCAAATTCACATTTTCAGAAAGTAGAATATTTTATCCTATTTCTTACTCTGTTTAAAATACAACTGTCTCCAGTATCAGATATTAGTACGTAGCTCTTGTTTTAAAATATTTTACCGTATATTATTATGAAATGTTTTTACAATGTCTAGGAAACCGAACAAAATATATCAAGAAACAACCAAGTTTTTGACTCTTATTTAATGTTGCATTCCCCGATGTTTGTTATATTGAAATTCTGTCGTCCTCTGGGATTCGATCTTTGAGAGAGTCCACAAAGTTGAAGTGTTTTTGTCTGATATTTTTGGTTTCAAAGCTAAAATAATTTAGAAATTTATATTTTAATTGATAAATTAGTTTTTAATGATATTGATGGCAAAAAGCCGAAATAAAAATTTTTGAATATTTACATTGAATAGATTGCGAATTGTCTTCAAATCTCGGAATTTATTTTGTAGAGTCTCGACGATTATCTGGATGTACAGGAAATAGAATGCCCCGTAGAAGAAAAGAAGACCAAGAACGGGAAGATAAATTTGTGAAACCAGTTCAGAGAAATGCCGCCAATGCAAGGGAAAGATCTCGAATGCGTGTTTTAAGTAAAGCATTTGGAAAATTAAAAACGACATTACCGTGGGTACCAGCTGATACAAAACTTTCAAAATTAGATACGTTACGACTTGCGTCTAGTTATATAGCACATCTACAGCAGATATTAGCTGCGGATTTCGACACGATTCAGCATTCTTACGTTCATCCTCTTAATTTGGTAAGTTGTCTTATTTTGTATTATACAGTATATATTGACTAATTTATTTTGATTTAATTTAATTCAATAATCGGAGTTATTTTAGTTATTTTTTTTGGATTATTTTTTAGTATTTTGTGGAATACTTTAATCAAATAGTTTGGTTTTATTTTTACTTCTTTTCTTTTTATCTTTTGTGAATTTTAAATTAGACGTCTGTGGTTCTTGCAAATTCACTAAATAAGTGTAGGATGACGTCACCCCCGCAAAATTTGCTTGTATCACATAAGACTTTTGCGGGGATAACGTCATAAAACACTTAGTTTTGATAGAATTGCAGGAACCACAGACGTCTGATTCAAAATTGGAATGGTGTAAATCGAAGCTATCATTGTCCCTGATATACATACAAAATTTGGAAAAAACTCTTTACAATCCCTTTAATATTTCTGTTTTGATACCAAAAGGAAGTTTTTATGAACTCATTATTAAGTGCAGAAAAGTAGGACGTAAAACTCCATTCATTTCATTTTCCATTTAAAAACTGAAATATGTTTGAAGTTATTGGTGTGACATTTATAAAGAAATTTAAGTTTATCTCAAGTTATTGTAGTGACAGGTTAAACATGTTGTTCGCGACTCACGAGTGATTTTTCACAGCGGGTTCTTTGTAGGGTGCCATGTTTAATTAACTCTATAGAAATACAACCCTCGTAACTCTAAAACTCATACTGTATCTGATACATACTGGTTACTCTTCTTCTGTTACTTTCAAACATAAACCATCTATTTCTGTTTACATA